TTGATATGGTTTATGATGATGATAATATTGATAATATGATGATGATATCATATGATGATACTTAGAATTGATTAATTCTTGTTTGATTATTGATTGATTATTTATTGATTATTGATTTATTATTTGTTTTTGGTTGTTAATTATTGGTTCTTGATTATTGATTATTGATTATTAGTTATTGTTTATTAATTAATTATTGTTTTTATTAATTACTAATTATTGATTATTAATAATTTATTAATTATTAATAATTGATTATTATTATTATTTATTAACTATTGAGAATTGATTATTTATAAGATTGTTATTTATTGAAACTTTTTTACATATTTATATTTTAAATATTTGAAAGTAAAAAATTAATATAACAAATATAAATTAAGAAACAAAAATATACAAATAAGACTTTTATAAATAAAGTAAATAAAATATTTATTTGTGTTATTTAAAATAAGATATTTTTATACTTAATATATTTGATTTATAAAAGCTCGTGTAAATGTATAACATTGAGTAAAGATAAGGCCAAATGACGAGCACAAAGAATTGTAGAAATTGCAGATAAGGTAAGTAATTAATATATTGAATAACGTATAGTTGATAAAATAAAATAATAATGTGTAACGTTTCAGGCTACACTGAGCTTTCTACTTAATTTAAAGCAGTAAATAAATAAATAAAAAATGAAGGATATAAGAATATGAAGATATAAAGATCTATGCGCGGTGTAGATATCTAGATTCGCAAAGGATACAGCTCACTGAGATTGAAAACACATTCGCATCAGATGCATAGTCATATAATAAAGTTCGTCGTCAACATGATAAAATTCTTGATAATTATTTGTCGTTGTTAGGCAAGAATAAGTTGAGTCCGAAGGAAAAATTTTTTTATAGAAATCATGGTTTTTGAAAAATCTTGAAGTTGAAATGAACAGTTAGAATTAATATTGACATGAATCTAGAGAAACAGATGAAATTAAGAGTGACTGATGATAAAAAATAAAGAATGAGGCAATTACGTGGAGTCAATGTGTTGTCTATATAAGTAATTAAAACTCAACTTCCGTGTTATAATTATATTTCGTCATTTAAAAAGGCTGTGCATCAGTTGCACTGAGATGTAACAGTTTAACAGTAAACTGTATCAAATTCGAAATTGATGTTTAGCCTCGCAATATTAGACAGATAAAAGTTTAATAGATAAAATAAAAAGAAGGAAATCACAGAGGAAGAGAGTGAAGAAGGAGGGGATGTTGTTTATCTGTTAGAGAGGTCAACAAGGAGACAAAATAGGAGTCATTAGTAATTCGATGTCTTTATTGGCGTGCCCATTATTTGTACTTTAATATCATGTATCATCTCTGAGATTAATCTCTTTTGGTAGTTTGATTCAAAATCAAGTATTTTGATGTTATCCCAGCCAAATCTATGATTTTGGTTAACCATATGCTCAGAGATGACCGAATATTTTGATGGTTCTAACTTAATATTGTACATATGTTCCCTAATTCTAGTTTTTAACATTCTTTTTGTCTGCCCAACGTGAGGCCTCACAGTCCATACAATTAATCTTATATATGACATTATTATTCATTACTGTTGGATTGATGTCTTTATGGACTCTTACAAATTTACTAAGGCTGTTGATGACTCTATATCCTATCATGATTTCAGTGTTTTTTATCGATGAAACAGTGAGTTTGGAGATTCCCCTCAAATAAGGAACGATAAAAAACTTTTTCTTTTTCATATTCAAGGAGAAGAGAAGTAGAGCTTCAATTCCTCATACCTCTCTTATTTAATTTGCCATTAAGCAATGCTTTTAGTTCTCTCTTTAGTTTCTCTAATTTATCCTATTAAAAATAATTTCGAGCGGATAGCCATTATCTATCAAGATATTAATGCATAATTCCAAGTTTCTTTGTATAAAACGAGGATGAGCAAGAAATACCGCTCGATCAAACTGAAAATAGAGCCTATCTTGTAGGATGCCGGGTAATTAGAGAGGTACGAGAGAATTCTCCCAGAAAACATTTTTGTGAAACTTGTCAATTTCTATTTTGTTTTTATTGATTGTTACATTCAAATAGAAGTTCAAACTGCGATTGATCTCGATTTCTAAAGTGAATTTAAGACGCACGCTCGCACGCAGGTCCGCACACCCGCAGGCTCGCACGCCCGCACGCCCACACGCCCGCACGCACGCAAAGTATGTAATCAAAAGAAGTTTCATTATGATGTTTTAGAATATCACGATGTCATTTAAAAAAAGATTAAGTAAGGAATGCGCGTTTCTATTTGAAATTTTTTTTTGAGAACTTCTCTATATTTGCTCTCCTGTTTAAATGGATATTGCCATTTGATGCATCTATTGATGCAACTTTTATATGAAACATTTCTTTCTCAAACATCTTGTTTTGGAGATATCGTTTCACCGATTCGCGATTTCTTTTCCGTTTTGTATATTTTTATTTTTATCTTATTACTCACCTTATTTTGCACTATATAACCAGTGATAATAGGACTGACGACACCTGGTAAAGTTGCGATAGTGTTTCCAATTCCCATCAACACACTAGCATGCTTTGGAGCAATATCCAGATGATTTACTCTAAAAAGTTACAGTTATGTATTATTAAAATTTCATTAATATTAATTTTGTTAATAATTATCCTAATAATTATTAACAGAATAAAAAAAACTTTGTATTTCTTTAATCTGAATAAAATTGTAACGATAAACCCCCTCCCTAGAATTAGATCGTTATAAAAACGGTATAAATTAATTCTCCGACCGACTATCCGGGATATCGATACGGTGATCTTCCGCGATCTGTCGAACAAATTCGCGTCGAACGACAGACGCCAGAATTTATGAAACAGCACGTGTTTATTATAACAATCTGCACGTTGGGCCACCGCCGCTGGTCCCGCTATCGACCGCGCTACCGAACGGATTTGCGGAATCGCTGAGCTTGTTCGACAAAATTCGCGGATCATTCGGCAAAATCATCCGCGAAGTCAACTTCACAATCCGAGTTCAGCCGACCAGTTCCCGATCCGTTCTGATTTACGGTCGGCTCAGGTATATTATCGGAATTGACTCCGATGAATGATTTTCGCCTTTTCCGGCGGGACAGCAGTCAATCCAAGTGCTGTTCTCGGCAATACCTGTCCAGATACCAATAAAACTATTTTAGGGCACTACCTAAAAAACCAAGAGTTTGTAGCGCTCTTATCTTCGAAGTACTCAAACTTTCTCTCGAGCTTAGACGCTTCTTAGCTTCGCCCACAAGGCAGGATTGTGCAAAAATCCGTCGCTGTTAGGTGACAGAGCAGAGAGCTTCCTGTCTCCGAACCGCAGCAAAATCAAAGTCCTATTCCGAATCGAAAATCCGTCCCGAAAAGACTTTGACAATTAACAGCTGTTCGACAATGCGACGAAACCCCGTGCACCATCTCACGCTGCGCGCCCACGATCGCAACGTAGCGAATTCGATAAAGTCGCGAGTTAAGCTATTGTGTGATTCACGGAATTCGCGTATACTTTTGGCAAATAACGCTCAAGATTCCTGTACATATTGTAAATACCGAACGAGAAGAAGAAATTGTAAAAGCCTAGTAATCCATAGTAATCCATAGTTGTAAATAGTTTCTATTTTAAGAATACACTTGTACATACTTCACGTAAAATCTTTTATATTTATTTTCTCTGTCACTCTGACACTCTCTCTCTTCCTGGCAACCCGATTGGACGCTATCCCGCGAACCGTAAGAGCGAGCCGTAACCGTTTTAAAATCTTGGTGTGTTTTTTTCTTAAATAATGTTTTCTTTATTTCGCGAGTAAGTCTTTTAGAACACGCGAGTACTCGCAATTGCGGATTTCGACAAACAAATATATAAAAATGTTAAAAAAATTGACACTGTACTAATTATTAAAATTGAACACTTACTAAAATTTCATATATGTTTAAAGTGATTTTATTCATGCATACGAGATAGTCATAGATGGAACGCCAGACAGAGAGAGATTTAATGAAACATAAATGTTTCATATAAAATTAACAAAAATTGACAACAATAATAATCAATATTATTGTACGAAAAAGATACTGGAAATTAAAAAATATTATAGCCGAAGATTTGGTGTATGAAATATAGAAATAAAGAAATATAGAAATATTTCATATAGGATATCAAGAATGGGCTTCTTCATTATTATAAGAATGCATTGATATTTTTTTCTTGTCTCTCTCGATTGTTTACAAATAGTATGTTTGTAATAATCAGTATCGTCAAAACAGACGTTTTTGATTTTTATTATTAAAATCATACTGTTATAAGAAATAAAGAAAGCCGCTGCATTGGTTATTCTTATGAAAATGCAACCATATCTGAATAGATGCTCCTGGCATTGAAGATATTTATCACCATTGCACTAATTATAAAAATATAATTGTGGAATTGGTTATGAAAAAAGCGTTTTCTTCAGAGTATGTTACGTTCTGTCTCGATTCCGATTGTTTTGATTATACCACGGCGAGTACGTGCGCGAGGTACGCACACAAAAGACAAGACACGTTTGACACACAGACAAAAATCGGGTATATAAACTCGGCAAATTTTAAAGAACTATCAGTCCTATCGATCATCTGACCCGTCCAATACACCGATTCGATCTGAACGAGAGTTTTTTCATTTACACATACTGGCAGGAATGGTGTCTCTGCGCTCGCCGCGCGGCCACTATACATACACACGAAGCGCGTACGTCCGTGTCTCCGCGAAGAAGATCGCAAAGGGAAAAATAGTGGGGGCAATTTGATGTTGCATCCTTAACGCAAGATCGAGAGAGAAAGCATAATCGGACCGATTTCGGTGTTCCTTCGCTGTCTCATACACTCGACACTAGTGCGAGTGAGAAATTGCGGCGTCTTTATACATCGCGCTTTTCTTTCTTTCTCTCTCGTTCTGATTAATTGATTATTTAATGATTATTTATTAATTTAATTGTGTAACGGAGTATCTGTAATACTCCGTTACTACACGCGCTATGCGGCCCACCGTCTAGGGCCGCCCGAACATCCCCGAACACGACTGAACGTTACGCGCGCGCTGATCTGTCACGCACCGACAGATCAGCTGTTTTGCAAAACGCGTTCGTTTTCGAACAACCCTTCGTGGCCGGCAATGCCGCGCCATCCTCTACGGCCGTAAACACCGCGGTTCCACATACTCTTCTTCCTCGCGGCCACAAGCGCTGCCCAATTCGCCCGTGTCCGGGTAAACTTCTCGCAGCCGCGATCACCGCGCGGCCAGCACACAGCCGGACCTCAACAACAACGACCATCTATGACCGCCAGAGTCGTGGTCCTAAAGTGCGCAGTCCAAGCCTCTCCAGCATCAGCACTGACGCCAAGCTCCTCCTCGAGCCGCAACCACGCAGGCGAAAATGCCAAATATCGAGTCCTACAAGGAGGCGACTCGTGTAACTATTCGGCTCGACGTCGTCACCGGAGAGTAGCGACCACCATTTTGATCGGAGGGCTCGCCGGAGAGGGATCACATGGATCTCGGGTGCCCTCTAACGCCTGGGCGCTTCCTTTCGCCCCCGCTAGACTCAACCTCTCTTGCCGATTTCACGCTGATCGAATCAACGGTACCGATGGACGGCGAGCGAAACCACAACCAACCAATGCCCTGGCGCCTCTATATGGTCGAATTAGGGCCTATACACGGCAACGCCGCGCAAGGACACGCGACGGTTCTTCGTCAACGTGATTACACAGACGGAAAAGGGACTTTCCGACGACGTCAAGTCAAGGCCATCTCGGCGCCTCACAGATGCAACGGTGCAGGAGCAAAGGAACGGAGACAGCAAAGGCTACGAAAATTACTAACCGCCCGTGCTGAGACCACCGCATACGGCGCGCCCACTCGCTTCACCTGCAAAATTCAGACGTGAAGATACACACACCCATAATATATACACACAAACATAAAATACACACAAATACACATAATTACTTGTAAATAATACAGAATACACGGCATGATTGAGATTAATAATACTCTAGTCAAAGGTTATTGAGCGTGCATTTTCCTATCCCTACATCCCTCACATATTAGGTGTACAAAAAAGTTCTGAGATTTCATACAACCGAAATAACAATTTAAATTTTATATATCTTCCCGCCCTTTTGCGATTTTAAAGCGTTGACATTTAGCCTTCTAAAATGCCATACGGTTTGGCGTTTGATGCACATAACCTCAAAAATCAGTAGTGTTCACGATGGCAATAACAAAAGAGCATATTCGATTTTCCATCCACTTCGTGTTTTTCATCTGAAGAAAAATGCTGCTGAAGTCACTGCAATGATTTGTGCTGCATATGGAGAGAACGCTGTAAGTCATACTACAACTGTAAAAGATGGTATCAAAAATTTCGCCAAGGAGATTTCAGTCTTGAAGATGAACCGCGTGCTGGACACCCTCAAAAGATTGAAACGGACGAATTGCAAGCACTGCTGGATATAAACTCTGCGCAAACTGAAAAGAAGCTTGCAGAACAGTTTGGCGTTACGCAGCAAACCATTTCCGTACGTTTACATATGATGGGAAAGGTTCAGAAGGAAGGCAGATGGGTTCCGCATGAATTGTCCGAAGACAACAAAAATCGTCGGCGTGACACTGCACTCACTTTGCTTTCAAAGTTCCGGAAAAAAGATTTTCTGCACAAAATCATTACAGGCGATGAAAAGTGGATTCTTTATGATAACCCTAAACGTATAAAATCATGAGTTGACCGTGGTCAACCTTCGACATCGACGCCAAAGCCCAATATCCATGCCAAGAAGGTTTTGCTCTGTATCTGGTGGAATTGGAAAGGTGTATTGTATTACGAGTTGTTATCGGGTGAAACAATCATGGCAGACCGCTACCAACAACAAGTGACTAATTTGAGCGATGCATTAGAAGAAAAGAGGCCATTTACTGGCCAAGGACGTCGTAAAGTGATCTTGCTTCATGACAATGCTCGACCACATGTTGCGAAAGCGACTCAGGACCATATCTTTGCGTTAGGCTGGGAACTTCTCTCGCACGCGGCATATAGCCCAGACATGGCGCCTTCCGATTACTATTCCAGTCGCTGCAGCATCATTTGGCTGATACACATTTCGTGAGATTTGAAGAGATACGAAAATGCATTGATGACTTTATCGTTTCGAAGCCGGTGAGCTTCTATCGTCAAGGAATTCGCAAGCTACCCGAAAGATGGCAAAAGGTCGTTGATGCAAACGGGGAATATTTCGCTGATTAATATTTTTTTATTTGTTTTTGAATAAAGATTGAATTTTACAAAAAAAAGCTCAGAACTTTTTTTGTACACCTAATAGAAATAAGCTTATCGCTTTTGGCGACACTTGCGAGATTAGTTGCAATAACTGGCTGTTCACTTTTTACTTTGCTTGTTTGGCTTAAATATTGCATCGCTGACCTTCCACAGCGCTGACAATATCCGAATACAATACCCTCCACATTCAGCAAGAGACACTAGCTGTCACTTGTCCACATCAACCAATCAGACTTCACCATGCCGCATACACTCAC